GTGCTGCTGTGCGTCTGCTTGAGCCCGTGATGGCCGTGGAGGTGATGGCACCCACTGAGTTCCAAGGAGCAGTGATAGCTGGCATTAATCGCCGTCACGGCGTCATCACGGGGCAAGATGGCACTGAAGGGTACTTCACTCTGTATGCGGAGGTGTGTGCTTCCCTGGTGCCTCTCTCTTTTCTTTTGACTCTGTTGCTGTTTGTCTGGTTGGCTGCAGTTGTGTTAGCCGAGTTATTCGGTGGACAAGCATGAATTTAATTTTCCATCTGTGGAAGCGCATTGTGCAACATTAGTAAACCTGCTACCTGTTATAAATCTGTTCTGCTTTGGAGAAGCCAACTTCTTAACCTAGGACCATATGGTGGCAGAGGAGGGAGCACGGTTTTGTTGAGGCTGGCTGTGCTGCCTTAGAGTGAAATCTGTGCAGCAGTGCTGATGCAGAGAGTTACGGGGGATTTTTCAACTCTTTATATCATAATTGAGATTAATTGAGTGACATCCATTGGTAGATGAAGAAATATCTTATAAGAATGATGTGCTTTGATTTTAGGTGCCACTGAATGATATGTTTGGATATGCCACTGAGCTGCGGTCTTGCACAGAAGTAAGTATTCTCAGTGCTTTTTGCTAAAGATACTTATGTAAATCAAATGTGCTAATTTGCATCATTGTTAGCACAGTATATGCATCAGTAAAAGTGATACAAATCACAGTACTGTTAATGATAATAGGAAGATAACCTTAATTATCGTTACTTTAACTGGTGTTTAATTGACATAGCTATTGCTGGCCTCATGTGGCAAAAAATTCTCTCATACTTTGGAGAGAGAAGAGATTCAAAGTTGCAAATAATACAGAGTATTATAATAATCAGTAGAGGTATTACACTGAGAGTCTGGAAAAGTGTAGCCATGCTCCTTAAGTTACTGATTTCTGCAAGGAGGTGAGACTTCAGACAGCAGTGCTCACGTTAATAAGTTCCTTTTTTAACATATACCCTCAGTTAGATGCTCATTGAACACATTTGAATCTGTTGAGATTGTTTTCTTTGTGTGTTAATTAAAAGTTTCTGCTCTACCTGTATGATACACAAATACCTGTATTCTCTTGAGCATTCAAATGGAGCTTTATTACTGCAGACAGCCTTACAGTCTTGTCTCAAACAACGTTCAGATCCTGTTTATCTTTGTGTCTCCATCTACGTGCCTCAGTACAGTGTTGGTGTGCTTCACTGCAAGCTATTTGTGCACGTTAGGTCACAGATTGGAGCATGGCCTACAGCTAAGGAAGGTTCCTTGCTTAGCACCCTAACTCTGACTGTTCTTTCTCCAACTCTTCAGGGTAAAGGTGAATATACAATGGAATACAGTAAGTATCAACCATGTTTGCCCAGTACTCAAGAAGAAATAATTAACAAATACCTCGAAGCAACAGGACGACTTCCTGCAAAAAAGGGCAAAGCTAAAAGCTGACTTTTCCTCTTGAGTACGTGGAACAGTTTTCACAGCCTTCTGGGAGAGCTTGGTTGCTCAGTCATACAAGCAGTTGAGCCTGGCTGGAAGTTGTGCAGGCTGCAGTGGGACTCAGACTTACAATTCCATCCTAATATCCTTCCTTCGGGGTGTTCTCAGCAGTCACTGGGAGATGACAGCTGAATTGTTCAGATGTAAATGCTGCTCACTGACAAAATACAGAAATGCTATAACATTGATAAGAATTTGTCCTGAAATGTGTCTTAATTCTTTTGTATTAAAATAATTATTTTTTTTTTACTTGATAAATAATTATTTTGTCAGTAGGCTAATTACTGTTTGAAGGCTTTCATTTAGGAGATTGAACAGAAGCTCTGGATAGACGTGGGAAATGAATCGTATTGTGCTGCTGATCTTACTGCTAGTGCTCCAAGCTCAGATCCTTTTGTTCCTGCAGTTCACTGACAGCGTACAGTCTGCAGAATGAATGCTTTCTTCAGAAACAACAAAGCCATAATGAAATGGTCGAGGTCATCTGTCAGTGCAGTTAACTTACCAGCAGCCTGCTTATCACTCTGTTCAAGGCATTTGAAAAGAGCTGACAGGAATGGCCGTAGAAGTTAACTCTCTTCAAAACTGGGAGCAGTTGGTTTTTATTGTATGTTCTTACTTTCTTGGCATTTATTTAGAAAGTGAAGGGATTATTTTATTTTTTAGAACCCTGGAGTCAGGAGAGCGTGCTGCTGCTGCTGCTATTTAGCTTGGGGATCAGCTGGATAGATCTTGTACAGGAGAGCTCAAACAAGGATGTGACAATTAGGTGAGAAAGAGAAGATATAATCATCAATTTTCATTTGATTATTACCAGATCTGCTCTGGATTTTGGTTGCACGCTCTCTTTTCCTGACTTACTCAGTTTAGCAGCATTTTTGCAGATAAACAGATTTTCCAGTAAGCAGAGGAGGAAGTTCCAGTTCAAAACCAGCTACGCTCCTGGCACAGGATCGTGGTTGATGTTTACCAGATGCAGACAGTACCGCCGTGGCTGGGCTTCTTTTCTTCAGCATTCACAGACATGCAGTGGAAATGACTTCTTTTAAACTTGGAATGAGAACAGTGTCAGAGATTTGTCAGGGGCATGTGAATGGTAACGAGGTGCAGGTATGGTGTCGTATAGAAGCATGTTGTTGCTTTGGGCTACATCTTTGGTGATTCCCTCACATCCGTAGCTTTTGTTCTTGTGAAAATGTCCAGCTGGAAGTAGTTCCAAGAAAAAGCCCTGCGGGTACTCTGACATTTGGAGAGTTTTAAAAATAAGGGAATGTTATAGCCCGTTCATCAGAGTTCAAGGATGTTTTATGCATGTGATGTGAATGCAGTGTAAAGAGAGATGGGGTGCTTATCATTTTTAGTTATATTTACGTTATGCCTTTACACTGTGCTTAGTAGAGGCCAGTCACAATGGGAATTCTTGGCTAATAGGTTCTGCCAGATGTGTGCTGGTTCTCCATAAAGCTAGCACATGATCAGAGTGGCACTCTGTAGGGACAACTGAGGCACAGTGGGCTCTACTGGACTTAAATACAAGGGTGAAAGATCTACAGGTTGGGGGAGTAGTGAATAGGTGGGGACAGTGGATGCAAGGAAGGAAAGAAGTATGAGCTTTGTTTTGGAGTGCCTTAGATTTTGTGTGTGTATGATTTTGACTTAGTTGAGCTCTTCCTAGCAGCAAAAAGTTCCCTGTACTCAGCTCTGGTGAGGCTGCACCTCGAGTATTGTGTCCAGTTTTGAGTCCCTCACTGCAAGAAAGACATTGAGGCTCTGGAGTGGGTTCAAAGAAGGGCAACAAAGCTGGTGAGGGGTCTGGAGCACAGCCTGATGAGGAGCAACTGAAGGAGCTGGGATTGTTGAGCGTGGAGAAGAGGAGGCTCAGGAGAGACCTTACTGCTCTCCATAACTACCTGAAGGGAGGTTGCAGTGAGCTGGGGGTTGGCCTCTTCTCTCGTGTAACTGGGGATAGGACGAGAGGGAATGGCTTCAAGCTGCACCTGGGGAGATTTAGGCTGGACATTGGAAATACTGCTTTTCTGAAAGAGTGGTCAGGCAGTGGAATGGGCTGCCCAGGGAGGTGGAGGAGTCACTGAGCCTGGAGGTGTTCAAGGAACATTTGGACGTTGTGTTGAGGGACATGGTTTAGTGAGACCTGTTGGTGATGGGTGGATGGTTGCACTGGATGATCTTGTAGGTCTTTTCCAACCGTGGTGATTCTGTAAAAATGGAAGAGAGCTCTTGGTCTTCTCTTGTCTGTACGCAGCCCCTTACAACACAGAGGCACGCTATGTAAGTTTTTCTTAATGTGAAGAGTTCACTATGAACCAGTCTGAGCCTCAGCTCAGATCACGACTGCATTGGCCTCACCAGTAATTTTGCTTGAGTAAAAACCTACCATTTCAGGCTGTGGTTGGTCAAATGAAGTTTTGGCCCTGAAGAAGTTGGTGGAAATTTTGCCTTTGGATTCCAGTAGGGTTGCTACTTGTCCGGAAGCTACAGTTGTGCAGTTGCTTAACTGTCTTAACATTGCATTGCCTGACACTGATCTGGAAGTACTTCTCTTCTGGATACGGAGAGCTGTGGCAAAAATGGAGTAAGGGAACCAAACTTGCAGTTAAGTGCACTGCTAAAATAGAGCCTCAGAGTGCACAGCATGTGCTTGCTGTAATTCTAAAAATATTTTCATCACCTTTTTTCTTTTTTAACTGAAGAAATGTTGCCATTGAAAGCTCTGACTTCGTGCTTTTGTTGAGAAATGTCTTGCCAACACAAAACGTACGTAAGATACTGCTTCACTGAATTTATTGTAATGTCTGTTATGTGCTGACATAAAAACCTGCAGTCGGTAACATTACATCACTCTAATAAACTTGTGTAAAATGCCTAAATCTGGGAGGATATCAGATCACCCAGCCTAAATAACCCCAGATAAACCTTCACATTAAATACCTGAATCCTCATAGCTGATTACAGACCCCTGAAAGCACGTCAGCAGGACTGGGACAGTGCAGGTGCTGCTTACTGGCTTCTGCAGGGCTTTGTGGGGAAAGATTTTGCTGCTCATTCACAGCCTTTTTAAAGGTCAAGTACCAGGAGAAGATGGAAAGTTGGGGTCTAACAGCATCGTGAAAGAAAATCCAACTTCCACTCTGTCTAATGGTATTTATTTTATTGGAGGTTATTTAAAAATCAGCAGGTAGCTATCTCAAAAAAACCAGCAAATATCTCTTAGTGACAGATTAATACTTTTCTCAAGATTTTTATCTGATATATTAATTTTGTTCAAGGATGACATAATCAACTTGTGTATATTTATCTGTGTATGTATAGTAGCAAAGTTTTTAGGTAGATCCCTAGAGCATTAATTTAGAGAAATTACAGAGGTTCATTCTGGAACAAACAGATGAAAGAACTGATGATTCAAATTTACTGTAATGAGGCTTGGATTTGAAAAATGATCACAACTTCAGGCCTGTTACACAGAGGTTTCCCATTTAATGTGTGCATCAAGCTAACAGTCGCTTTTAAAAATTCCCTTCCTTTTCATGGAACATCCCAGCAGCTGATCCGTAGTCCTGTCCTGAGCCATCTTCGAGCCGATGGTTATCTGAAGTGCAGATGTATTTCACCTTCAGAGGGTGACCGAGTGTCCAAATGAGGTGCATGTGACAGAGATCTATTTTCTGGAGAAGAGATTTTACAGTAATTGTCTTTTGTGATCTTTATACCGTTTCTCTCTTGATGGAGGTAGGTACTGTGTGAATATGCTTTCTTACCTGCGTTGGAGTTTCGTGGAGCAAGATCATGAATTCAAACTCAACAGCACTGTCCTTCCTTATCTGGTCATGCATCAAAGGAAGACAAATAAGAACACAAGTTACACTGCTGAAGTTTAGAATCTACCCTGATTTACTTGATGTGCTTAGCTTGCATAGAAAGTGAGATGAATAGGGCTTAAGATGGCTGTGATATCTGGCTGGAGTAAGACAGGTTTTTGCACACAAACAGAGGGGGAATCAGGAGCACTTACAGCATAAAACTTCAAAGACAGTAACTACAGTGTATGTCTGTACCCTGGCATGAAACTAGGCTTACACAGGTAATAATTCATTCAGTTAATCCTCAAATAAATGTGGTAATCTTGTCTATTAAACTCTCCTTCAGAGAAACGCTGTTCTATGTAACTTGGGAGTGAAAAATGAACGCACAGATGAGTAAGAGAAAGTTTGGGAACTCCTATTCTGTAGGCTGTAGGTGTAAGGTACATTCACCAGAATGCATATTGGACTGGTGCTACCCTGAAGTTTGGGTAGGGGGGCAAAGAGCACGTGGTGTGGGGCTGAGGAACAGCAGGATCTTACGTTCAAATCTCCTGATTAAACTTGCAGAAGCCAACAGATCCACTTCTGGACGAACCACTGCCATTACAGAGAGTGTGAGATGTTGGCAGCTGTTTTATTCTTTGCCACTCTATAGGCTGTCACCTGTAAGGCAGATGTGTAATTTCCATTTGCTTACCCGCTGCTTCACAGCCTTGACTTGTGCCATGAAGTAACCCAAGTTCTCTGTTGACTTCTCCAACATGATGTAACTGCTACCAGCAATAGCCAAGCCCCACAGTGGAAGATGGGCATGGTCAATATTTCCATGGCTGTCTGAAAGAGAGTCGTATAAAGATGATGAATTCTGGCTGTTCATCAGAAACAGGATAAACCACAGAGCATTGCTGCGTGGCATGGCACTATGCCTGGGAGCTGGCTCTTACTGCAGTCGTGAACTGGGAGGAGAATGAATCGATCCTAAATTTACTGTGACTGCAGAAGTATGCCAGCATGATGGAAGTGAAATTACCAAGAGATGTTAATCACCAGTTCCCCTCAATGAGGTGGGAAACCCAATATCCACAATAGTGGAGGTCATTACTTAACCAGGAGGAAAAGAGGTATCTGGGTGCTCCATTTCCAGGATGGAAGAATTCTGTTTCCCATCCCTTGTGAATTCCTGTCCACAGCTGTGGAAGGTTTGTGGCTTCGGGCAATTGCTGCTATTTCAGAATATTTTGCATTTACTTGACTGTAAAACTGCAGTCTGTTTTTTAAAACCAGAACACGTTCACAACATTGGATTGACTGCCACTGTGCTGTGAAACACGGTTGGATTTGTCTCCCCAAGAATTTGTGGTGAGGTGAGTTGTTCTGCTAGTTAGCCCTACAGCTTTAGGGTGCTACTTTGGGTTTGTGCTTTTTGAATTGCACGTTCCTTCACTTGTGTGCAAACTCTTTGATATAAAATGAAGTGCAGTTGATTGTTTGGAGGAGTACCTGGAATATCATTTGCAATTATTGGTTTCGTTCGATGCTGAAGATACTGGTAAAATCTGTTGTCCTCTTCTTGGATTTCTTTCTTATCCTGAGTGTGAGCACACTTGATATTGACTTCAGGCGGAGACTTCTGTAGGTACAAGACTGTAGCAAGGCAGCTCCCAGCATTTTCCTGTAAAGGCAGAATTACAGACTGTGACCATTAATCAACGCTTCATTTACCAGCAACGCATTCTTAAAAAGCTCTTTGTAGAGATAAGTGAAGCATGCGTTTGGAGAAGGAACATGGGGTGCTTTGTAGGAAGCTGTGCAAAGATCCAAAAAACCTTTAAAGGATGTACATAACATAACATTATTTTTTTCTCCAGAAAGTTAAAGAAATTTAAACCACAAGGTGAAAGTGATTTAACAAAACTTTTGAATCAAGATGTAACAGAAATGTACCGAGCCATCTTAGAAATGTCTGCAGGTTCTCAAGCAATAATGCTGATAATGGGACTTTCATTGTCTGATATTTCTGCCTTGAAAGAAAAGTTATCTAATGCTTTAGATTAAATTCTGGAAGTAATTTGAATATTATAAGTGTGCAATAGAAGAACAGACGCTTGTGGTAAAATTGCTAGTGACAGCTGTAACAACAAATGGAGAGATGGTTGTATTTAAAAAAAAAATCAGCTATATGTCTGCTTTCATTGTGGTGTGTGGACACTGCAGGAGCTACAGCTGGGTGAGGACCACAGTGTAACACTGAGTTTGGACCACTGCAAAGTCTGACTCAGAAGCTTTGTTGCCTGATGTGACTTACTAAGACAGCAAGCAAAGCAGGAAACTGCAGTTGGACCCTTGCAGAGGAGAAGAGCTGATAGATGAGATACTCAGGTGTTACTAAGAGCAAACTGTGCTTCATGCTGGACAGGTGAAAGCCTTACAGTAGGTCCTTACGTTGTGAAAGGCCCATTTGCAAAAACACTTAAATGTACCGCTTTGAAGGTGTTAGAGTTTAACAGACTCTAAGATGTGTGGGATGGTAAACTTACCCCATTTATGTAGTCTTCAGTAGTAAACTGCAGGTAATACTTCACACCAACTCCTGGAATGATCTGAAAGAGAGGAGGATTCAGCTTGCAGTGCAGCCTTGTGGCTCTCTGGACTGTGCCACTAGCACTGTGGGGGAAGGCAAGGCTGCCTTTGTACCAAATACTCTCTACTTCATTACTGTAGCCGTTATTTTCTGACCAGTGAGCAGTCTGAGTGGCAAACAGTAAGGAAAGCTTTATTAACTATTTGCTTGCAGAATGCCATTTTGTGTTGTTTAGCTGATGGTTATATTTCTAAGCCTCTCTTTGATGAAATCAGTCAAGAGTGAAGTATGTATTTTTGTATGCTGCACTGTGATTTACTAGATGAGCTTTCTGACACATAAGCTGCATTGTTTCTGTATCTGAAAGCTGGTTTGTTTTGCATAGATTAGTTGTTTTAGTAAGAGGTATTCTCCCTTGAAAACCTCTAGCTTTTTTTTCCACACTACTGGTGTAGGACAGTGTTAACAAGGTTTTCCTCTGTGAGGTGTGTGATGCAGTGTGTAGAAAATGCATTTTACTGGAGAGTGCAAGCTATACAGTGTACACTGAAGTCAAATTACTGCAGTTCAGAAGCAGCGCTGTTTGGTAGTCTGTTTGTTTTCTGACCACAGTACACTTCAGGTAAACAGGAGGGGCATCTGGACATTTGCACGGCGTTGAAGGTTAGAATCCAAAGCACCTGTGTGTGTCTTACTTATCTAAATGTGTTCTTTTGTGTTCCCACCATACCTTCATAAAGCATCAACAGCATCGTGTCAGCACTGACAGAGCAAAGGCCGTGAGCCCAGCTCCTGTCTTTGGTACATCTGCAGTTAGGTACTGCTGATGACAGATTGCTTTAGTCACTTCTTATTTTTACCTTCATGAAATCTTTACAAAGAGCCAAGTCTGGAGTTGGGCCCACATTATACCAAGAGTGTAATGAAGGAACAGAGAGGATGAGTTCAGACCTTTGCAATCTTCTCTCTGCTATTCTCTCCTGCCCCCATTTTCTGCACTAGCCAAAATGTCCTTCTGATCTACTTAGTCTTAAATCAAAATGACAGATTATTACGTGTTACTGCTTTACATTCTACTCTTACTGTAGCAAACTGGTAAAAACTAACTTTCTGAAGTGCAGGTTTATGAAAGAATCAATAATTTGGGGACACTGACAGAAGGTTTTAATTGCTCATGATCACTGCAGTTAAGCCTAAGTTTCTAATTATTGTAAAGTGATGTTGTTATTAGAGCTACTATCTCTAGCATTCTTCGTTTGATGAAGTATTGGTGTTTGAAGCACAGCAACCTAGGCTTATTCCTTGTCTTGTCATCAGTACTACAGATGAGAGACACTGAAACAGTTGGACTGCTGGAGCTGGTGAAGCTTGGCTGTCTGATGTAACTGAAGGTAATGGTGGGCTTTCCAGCTGAACCTCTTCCTCAAGTAGCCCAGCACAGCAGCCTGCCTGCTGGTTACAACGTCAGGGGCTTTGTCCTATGGAAGAAACTGCTTTGATTTCCACTATTATTTTCACTATTACTCCACAATGCATTCCTGTAAACCATCACACACTGTGAATCGAATAAGAGCTGAGGCATATTTGATATCAAACAACACTGGCTGACTGAAAGTAGTCAAAAGATAGCATCCAAGAAGAAAAGTAAATATTTGTATACACAGGGAGAGGTGTGGGGTCCACACATCCCTGCCAGCCAGCCCAGGCAGCTTTACCCTGGCTGCTGTGGAGGGAAAAGCCAGCAAAGTCGGCTGCTTTTTGTGCCCTAGATAATAAAGCTACCCTGCAACTGATCTTACCTTCCCACTCTGACTTGAGTACCTGACTGTTAGAAACTCATAGATAACTTTTAATTGACTTATTTTAATATCAGTACCATAGTCCTGACGTGGCACTGTTGTGTGTTAAGATGAGCTTGTGTAGAGAGATCTCCAGCCATAAAATAGCGTTTGGTACCCCAATTCTAGAAACTGTTGTAGTTCAGTCGATAGATCAACTAGCTTTACCTCTGTGCTTCCCTGCTGATCCACCTGCCTAGCTGCTCAGCAATATGGGAGTTTCTCTCTGGAATTCCAGGCTCTTCAGCTTCACTTCTCAAATACATATTTTAAAGTGCAACTGTCAACAATCCCATGAGATGCATGCTGCTGTTTCCTGGAAGATACTCACTGAAATTAAAAAACTAAACTTAATTAAAAAGCTAAACTAAAATCGATGAGAAAACAGAACTGCAGCCAGTGTTTGCTATGTGCCTACTACTGGTTGCTGGAAGAAGGAGCCACTGAAGGCTCATTTTACCAGAGCTTGAAAAATCCTCATCTAACAGTTACTGTACTGGAGGCTTTTTCCAGTCCTGTTTCTTATTGGCACCATTTAAATGTTTAGTGGGATGATAATCTCAGTTTTTAAATACAATGCTCATGATTAAATTCCCTGATAAAGCTATTCTATTTTTGCTTGATCCAACAATGGACTAATAGGAAAACTGCCTTCTTAAAAAAAAACTCAAAAACTGTAACTTATATTCGCATTAGATAGTGCATTCCTTCCAGGAAATTCTTTTCATTTTTTACAGGGAAGGACAGGAAAGGAGGAAGTGACCATGTCTGCTGTGCTTCTCCTCTTGTTTTTACAGAGCATGCAAAGAAAAAGGGGAAATAACCTGCAGAAAGTGGTTACAGAGTGCTGCACAGCATCGAGTATCATGAGGAAATAATGAGGCATTTCATTTCTCCAGGAGCCAATTTCTTCTTTCCTGTTTTGAAAGGCACGTGGGCAATGGTGGGTGGAGAAAATCCCTTTTCCTTACTCCATCTTGCAGATATTCAGTTACAGGTTGGAAAGGTCTGCGCCAACCCCTCAACTCCCGCTAGCTGTGGGGTTATGCCTGCACTGCTTCCATCACACGCGCTGCTCCAGGGAGCTGTGCCATAGAATCATGAGGGCTGGAAAAGACCCAGAATCTGAGATCCCCACCATGCCCACTGAGCACATCCCTCAGTGCCGCATCTTAGGGTCTGAACACCTTCAGGGACGGTGACCCCAATGCTCCCTGGGCAGGCTGACTGTTGTTTGGGAGAAGAGTATGGAGGGATGGATGCCGGCTGCACTACTGTTGATACAAGCCAGGGTGCAACCAGCCTTCTTGGCCAGGCACAGCAATATAGAGACCTATCCTCCACCATATTACATGTGCACGCTGCCCAGTAAGTACAAAAGGGGCACCTGCGTGCTTTGTGAGAAGTATCAAATGTTCGTTTTTGTCATCGATTTCTGCCAGAGTTCCAGAGGGAGAATGAAATGCCCCGTCCAGCACAGCCACCCTCAGCTGCATCCACAGAGCGCGTGCGGCGGTGTGAGCCGTGCAGCTGTGCGCTGGGGCTCCAGGCGCTGCTTGCCGTGCGACGGGAGGCCGTGCGCAAAGTCTGAACGGTATGCAGTAGCTATGTCAAATTTGATCGGAAGTTATTTCTCTGATGTGTGAAACGTGTGCCGGTCGGCGTCGATCTTTCATAGAGATCCCAGTCTGAAGCCACTGGGATCCCTGGGGAAGACTTGAGGACCGAAACAGCGCGTCCGCAGCGCTTCGGAGCGGTGTGGGGCTGCCGGGCGCCCCGTGCAGCTGCTGCGTGGGGAAGGCGGGAAACGCTTCGCTCAGCGTCCCTCAGCCCTGAGGGCAGCTCCTCTCCCCTGCCCCGCCGCCCGTCGCCCCTCCTACCTTGGCGGTAGCCTTCAGCACCTGCCGCAGAGCCCGCAGCAGCCTGGGGGACGCCCCGTAGTAGTTGCTGTAGTGCAGCGCTGTCCGCGCCGCCCTGGAGGCCTGGCGGTCGCTGGGGTTCAGCGCGTGCATCACGCCCGGAGCCCACGGCCACGGCGGCTGCTCGGCCGCGGCGGGCGGGAAGGAGCTGAGGAGGAGGAGGGCGGCGGGCAGCGCGGCGCGGAGCCCCGGCATGGTGCTGGCGGAGCGCTGTGAGGCGGGATCCGGGCGGGACGGTACTAATAGCGGGGACACGGCCCTCCCTTCCCCGCCCGGGAAGCGCTACGGGGAACTCCTCGCTCGGGTCCTGCCCTTCCCTCAGCCCTCCCACCTGCCGGCGGGGGGGGGCAAGGGGTTTGCGGGCCAGAGATGACGGCATTTGGGTTTGCCTTTGAGCAAAAGGTTAGGTGCTTTACGCAGAAAAATGACTCTCCCTGTACCAGGGGCAGAAGTTCTCACCTGCCCCACAGTAGGTTCGGGTTTCCTCCTGGTCTCACAGCGTGGTGACTCGGTGTACCTGCAGTGACACTGCCTCCATTCAAAGCACACGAGCACTTTTCGTGTTGGTGACTGAGGTTCTGTGGTAGGTCAGGGCCTTAAAGAAGAGCTAAGGGCTTAAGATACCTTTTATGGATTCTGGCTGTTAAGCTGGCACAGCCTGCAAGCCCCTGATGTGTCGGTGCTGAGCTGTGAGGCTCTGGCCCTGTCCTTCGCTTCCTTTGAGCTCCCTTTGCCCTCGAATGTTCTCCTCCTTTTCCTGCTCTCTGTCAGTGCTGCTGTCACCGCTACGCTTGTTTCCTTTCTGCAGAGCGTAACAAAGGCAATGTGAATAACGGGAACTGAAGTTCAGTGTGGGGACAGAAAGCCTGTAGCACAAAGCGGGGACAAAAGGCAGCTTCCAGGGCAATTTCCTAAATTGCTGTAGAGATTACGTTGCTATGATATGCTGTTGATCTAACGTGACTCCAATTTATAAACGTTTTGCTTGGAAAAATAAAAGCTCAAATGGTTTTGGGGTCGGGGATGCATTCTTAAACCCAACAAACGCTGGCATTCACTGCTTCCACAAAATTTAGAAGTAGTGTTTAAGTCTTGTTCTTGTGGGACTCTTTAAGGCTGTAAGAGCCAGGCCTCGAGTTCTGCGCTGCCTTTTTGTTTCAGGCTTTTTAGGGAAGGTAAAAGTGAAGCTCTGAAGTATGTAATACCTGAACAGAAAGAACAGAAGCAAGTGATCCAGCTTGAAGTGACATTTCCTAGTTATCTAGAAAGTGGTGCAGGTTGATCTCACTACCACCTTTACACCTCTCATTCCAGATCACTTGGTCCAGATTAAAGAGGATGATGGTGAGGTAAGTAACACGTTAATAACCCTTCTCACTGTCCTTTAACCAACAAGGCAAGTTTCCCAGTGTTAACGTCGTGCCGTGGTTTACATCACACTAATGCCACAGCTGATTTGGATCTTTTAGAAATTGAAGTGAGGGTTGTTTAGGGCAGCTGATCTCAAAAGCATTCTGAGGTTTTCATTTTCTTACCATCTTTTCTCATTCATCAAATGCTTAGAGGCCAGTTATTGCTAATTTGTTTCAGATTTTAAGACTATTTCTATATCCTTTGTAAGCATTTTGCAGCAGACCTCACTGGCTCCTAATCACTAGCAGATGACTGTAATGTAATACACGGAATTTGGACAAAATTCAGTGCATTTTGTTTTGCAACTTTTCCAGTTCTAACTTCAACGTCTCGGTGGAGTTAAAAACAAGCTCTTTATTTTTTCTGTAACTTGATTTTAAATGAATTGGACGTACCGTTTTCCTCCATCAGTAACTACAGCTTGAATTTTATTCTCAGTAATTAATCACAAAAGCTTATTGTCTCTGTAATTTGCCTCTTGTTTTGTTTTTGTTTTCTTTTGTTCTGTTTTCCCCTGGATAAACAAAGCCTTGAACAGTTGATCTTTTAGTGCATTTCTGGGCTGGTGTTGCCAATGGTTAAGCTGTGACTTTAAAATACGGATGTCTTTTTTCAGGGAAATTTGGTTTTGAAGGTTTCTGACCATGCCTGGTACTTTCTTGTTATAAGATTTTTTTTTAAGTTGAGCATATGTATTCAGCATCACCAGCAACAGTTTCCATTCTTGCACATCCAGGTAGCAGAGTTTTCCCAATGGATTTTGTGCCTTGCCTCAGCCCAGGCTGTGTTTTCCTGCAGATGCTCAGAATGTCTGACGTGTGTTGCAGTTTTGCGAAAGGAGAGGCAATGTTAAAGCCAAAGTGATGTCTTCTATATTTTGATTGAGCATATAATAGAAAAGCTTTCTAAAAACCTGTGTATCTTAAGTGTTGGTTGGACTACGGGGAGGATTGCTGTAATAGTTCTGTTGGGAACTAAAAGAAAAGTAAACAAGAAGAGAGAAAGCAGTTGAAGGTAATTTATGTCTCAGTGAATATTCATTGGCTTCAAGGACTCTAACATGGTTTCCCATTAGATTTATGGGATTAGTTCAGACCAGAACTGTTGAAGCCAGGAAATGACAAAAACGGGAAGAACTTGAAAACTATTCATCACTGAAATACGAGTTGTTTGGGGCAGTACAGGGACAGCTCTTGAAGTGTAAGGGATTATGGTGTCTGTGTCAGTAAAGAAGGACTTGTAGTCTCTCTTTTTTTTTTTTTTTTAGTCCTTTTTGATACCATCAAACGTTTAAGTGTAGAAACAAACTTTCTGAGCATAGTGAAACAGAAGAACATGGAATTTCTCAGTCACCCAAGCTATAATTGAGAAAGGAAACGAGCTTGCAGTGGACGGATGGCTAGGTTTAAGATGGCCGTATGTTCCAACAAGGGAGTGTAAATCGTTGCAGACTGTTAATTTGTACCAAACATTTTGTTAATCTACTTATGTTGTTTTCTTTTGATTATGGAATGTGCGTGGTGTTAATAGGACAAGAAGTAATGGCCTCAAGTTGTGCTGGGGGAGGTTCAGATGGGACAGTAGGGAATTTCTTCATGAAAGAATTGCAAGGCATTGGCACAGGCCAGTCTGGCACAGGCAGTGCTGGGGCACCATCTCTGGAGTGCTCCAGAACCATGGAGATGTGGCACTGAGGGACGTGGCTCAGTGGCCATGGTGAGGGTGGGTTGGGGTTGGTGATCTTTGAGCTCTTTTCCAACCTGAATGACTCTGTGATTTCTGTAGTGATATCTTTTGGAGAAATCTCCCTTTGCTGACTGGCCCCAGCAAACAAATCCCTGACGTGCTCAGTGAGACAGTCACTAGGTGGTCAAGCACAAGCATGAACAATGAACTATACTGCTTAATCACAACTCTGAAAACTAAATGGATCTTGGGCACATGTTCAGGCCTGTTTAAAAATGCATGGAAATTAAGGCAGCTATTTAAACATTGAATAGGAATATAATTGAGTATTTAGTAGCACAGATGGCCGTGATGGAAGGAGCTCCGAACGGCTGGGCAGAGCTGGGATGTTGGGCTGGTGTGCCTTTCCTGTGTGCAGTCCTTAGAGCCATGCTGCCTCAGCAGTGATGTTCAGACTGTGCCCAGGATCTCTGAAAGGTGGGGTCTAAAATGAAGGCTTTGAGAGCACAGTTCAGATGGAATTCCCCCCTGCAGCTCTGGATTGATGCTCAGTCGTGACCCCTTGCTACACCAACAAAGTATTTCATTTTGTTTGAGGTTAACGTTTGCCTTGTAGCTGACAGCAGTAAAAATCACCTTGAAACACTGGTATTTGTGACACTTTATTTTTAGAGATTCAACTTATGTCACTGTTAAATAAGCATTGCAACAGAACAATAATTTTTGAATTATTCGGTTGCACAATGTTTAACCAAGGCAGTAAATGTTTGCACAAAAAGGGAGCAACTTCTCAGTGTTTTAAATAAGGTGGGGACAAATGGTTGAATTCTTACTCTGCATTCTGTAACACTGTATCACAAACTGTCTTCCTTGCAAGGTGACGTGTTTGCAAAGGTCCAGCAGAGGTAGGAGCTGTGAGGAAACACATTTTTCCTGTCTTGCTCACAGCATCCTCCCTTTTGTACTCACGTTTGTGACCGCTGTTCTCTGTGCAGGGAGCATTCCCAGGACTCCACTCCCACAAGGCGCAGTGGATGCTGAAGGTCCAACATCTGCGTGATGGAAAGGCAAGGTGAGCAGCACAGCTGGGGACAGAAGCAGTCACAGGAGAGGTTTAGGTTGGATATCAGGAGGAAGTTTTTCACCCAGAGGGTGGTGAGGCACTGTTACAGGTTGCTCAAGGAGGCTGTGGATGCCCCATCCCTGCAGGCATTCAAGGCCAGGCTGGATGTGGCTCTGGGCAGCCTGGGCTGCTGGTTGGTGACCTGTACACAGCAGGGGCTTGGAACTGGATGAGCATTGTGCTCCTTTTCAACGCAGGCCATTCTGTGATGATCCAGAACAGACAGATCTGGGCAGACAAAAAGAATATCCCATTTCTGTTTTTTTTTTTTTTTTTTTCCTCCTTTCCTAGGATTCATGATATCTCCCAGACCAAAGACAGAGTGCACAGATTAAATATTCCCTAAATTAAGTATTCCATACTTATGTTATTAAACATATCACCCAATTTTCAGCTCTTGCCTACAAAATGGTGACAATGTGCCCTTTCCTGCTGTCACTCTTCCCACTGCATTTCCTGTAACACCAGGTGACTCAGTCTTGAGGGGAGTGACCACCTCAGTGGCAATAAGGGCAGGTGACTTATCAGCACTTTCTGAGGTCATCTCACAATACTGTGATTTATTTTTTTTCATGTGGAGGCACATACCTGATTATCACAGCCTATTTATGCCACTTAAAAAAATAAACTGTAAAACATTTTTACTCTGAGCATTAGAGAATTGTAGAATACAAACATTGGAGCACTTGTCTCTAGTTCTTTGAGCAACTCAGGTATGTTGCCTCCTTGGCGTACTGGCTTATTCTTTCTGGTGGTTTTCTTGTCATTGCTTCATCTAGTGATAATCTCATTTTCTTTGTTCTGATCAGAAATAATTCCTTCTTTGTTCTCTCCTGCATCACTGTATGTTCCCAGAACTTCTGAGAAAGTGATCTTTTTTTTGGATTACTCATTCTGTTTTGAAATGCGTGTTTCCTTGCGTATCCATGTAAGAACTGTTGTGTTTATTTCTGCACGTCATGCAGTTGGGTTTAATCAGAAGCATGAT